TTGGACTTTTGCCACTTAAATGCTTGGCTTCTGGCACATTACCTTGTCTGAAATTCAGTTTTCTTTTCTCTAAAATGGAGCTGATTGTAATATGTACAGTACCCTGTCCAGGAGCCCTGATGTGGGGCTGTAGGATAAGCACTGGACTTCTAACTACAAGGTTGACAGTTCAAACCCAGCAGTCTCTCCTATACAGGGTGGCTAAGACTTAGAACTGACTCGAGGGCACTTAACAGCAAAAAGAAGTGCTATTTACTTGCTTTTCTTCTTACGATATTTGAAATTTCATTTTGAATTTGAACATTATTGTATACCATATTTTTTCACAAATAACTTGCACATTATGCTTTTTTTCTGCTGTGTAGCCTTTCTCATATTATTTTTGTGAGTACCTGATGCCAATTTTTTTTTTAAACATGTTTCTGACTTCAATTGACTTTAAGGAGACATGATTAAACTATAATAAGCAGACCTAACTCTGCTGTGGAATCCTGGTGTAACGCTATGATAAGCACTTGACTGCTAACCACAAGGTCAGTGGTTCAAATCCACCAGCTGCTCCTGGAAAACCCTATACAGGGTCGCTATGAGTCAGACGGACTCAATGACATGTTACAACAACAACAACAACCCTGGTGTGGCACTGTAGGGTAAGCACTGAACTGGTAGCCAAACGTTCAATAGTTCAAACCTACCATCTGCCCCTTGGAAATCGTCTACAGGTTCTCTCTGAGTTGGAACTGACGCAACAGCACACAAGAACACCACCACCAATATAACAACACTTTTACTTAAGATGATCTGATGAAAGTTTTCATATTCAGCGGTTGAGCTAATGTGCTGTAGTAATCAACTTAGATTAATAGAAACAAATGTACAGTTTCTATTACTTATTTTCTGATTCCCAGGGGAATACCAAACTCTATCCGTGACTTATTTCTTGGCCTGGCTTATACCTTTATTATGCAATTGTGATCAAAAGTACACTTTTCAAACTATTTTTATACACATAAGCAAGAGATCATAGAAAATGAACATAATGGAAGAAAATGAATAGAGCGATATATGACTTACCTATAATTTGGAGTCCTGTGTGGTGCTGTGGGTTAATGCACTGGACCGCAACACCCTTTTAAACCACAAGGTCAGCAGTTGAAGCTCACCAGCCGCTCCTCGGAAACCCTATACAGGGTCTTTATGTGTGGGAACCAACTCGATGGCACTGAACGACAGCAACAACCTGTAATCTGGGAGGATAGATGAATGAGGCTGAAATTCACTTCTGGAAATGTCCCAAGAGATGAGTGGTATGTGCATGGACATGCTATGCTAGACTCACTGTAATTAATTTCATCAGTTCCACACGTTATGTGTGAGGATGTGTTATTTACAAGGGACTGCTATTTTCAAAAAACATAATTGCAAGTTCTTTGAAAGATGGATTCATCCTTCCCATGTATTTCTTTAATCTTCATATCACATGACCTTGTACATGGCCATGTCGGCATGAGTTGACTGAGTAAAATGAATTCAGAGCAAAGTCTTTCTGAAATGATTAATCATGAGTGTTACCTTCTCTGTAGGAGAGTAGGGTTCAGTTCCCATCCAGTGCACCTCATGTGTCTCATTGGAGGTTTGGGTGTTGCTATGAGGATAAACAGTTTTCAGCAGAGCTTAAGACAAGCTGGAAAGGAAAGTCTGGTGATCTACTTCTGAAAATCAGCCAATGAAAGCCTTCGAGATCACAATAATTTGGTCTCATTGTACAGGGGGGAACTTATAAGTCAGGGACCAACTAACAAATCACAACAGAGTATTTATCTTTGGTCTCAAAAGTCTGTTGAATGACTTTTTTGTTTACCATGCTAGTAAATGTATTATGGGTTGTTGTTAAGTGCTGTCAAGTCATAGCGATCCTGTATAGAATTTACGAGGAGCAGCTGGTGAGCTTAAACCGCCGACCTTGCAGTTCAAACTGCTTTGCAGTCTGGTGCATTAACCCACAGCGCCACACCAGGACACCATATTATGGGTAGTTGGTAAGTATTGAAAAAATAAGATTTCTCATGGAAACCTCACCATTGGTTACCATCTGTGGGTATGAGCCTTAAAATTGTTTTTAAATAATTCCTGGTGATCTGTATGTACAGTTTGAGCTTGTCGTGTGTGTGTGTGTGTGTGTGTGTCTAAAAATATTTGAAGGGGGAAACTAACACCTTGTATAAATGCAATCTCCGTAAGACCAACTGTCGTTTTATAACAGAAGCTGCAAAAACCTTAGTCTTGTTTGTCCATCCCAATTCTCACTGGGCTTGGCATTTTTATTCCTTGTACTTATAACATCATTGATTCATACTTGGAAACTTACAGAGAGATTTCAGAAAGGATGAAATCTCGGTAGCAATGCTAACAGAAAAATAATTCTGACCAGGTCCCTGCTCTGTTGGGTACTTCAGCAGTGCAGGCTCAAATTCCTGACTAGAGATCTCAAGCAGCCAGTCTCCTCTTTTAGAGTATGCCAGGAGTCCTGGTATGGCGCTGTGGGTTAATGCTCCAGGCTGCAAAGCTGTTTGAACTGCAAGGTTGGTGGTTCAAACTCACCAGCTGCTCCTTGGAAACCGTACACAGGGTTGCTATGGGTCGGGATCGACTCCACGGCACTTCACAACAACAACAGGTGCCCTTGGACTCACCAGGATGGAAAGAATTATGCTTATACTCTCAACCCTGCAGATACAGGTACTTTAGAAAAATGTCCCTGAGAAGAGATGCACTTGATTGCACTATATTAGCATCCTTGCAGCTTCTGATGTCTCCATTGTTTGCAGAGCTGAAAGGTAACAGGAAGTCAATTTCAGAGGCCATTGTCTCCATACTAAGTTGGCTTCAGCTTCTGAAAAAGTATAGTTGGAACAGAGAACACAGGATGGAAGTGTGACTTAGAGCGAATCTCATGAGTGAAAGTTTCGTCTATTGTTTGATAGTTTGTTGAATGATGTTTTACTCAATGAGTTTATTTCTTGTTAACTGTATAGCTGCTGTTCCCCTTGCACCCAGGACTATGAATTTTTTATGTTCAAAACAGCTGGTTACTTACTTCCTTTTATAAGTCTCCATCTGTTCTATGGTATAGGAAATGCTTTTTTTGTTTTTTTTTTTTAATATTATGAAGTTGAACTGTCCCCAGGTTCAAATAACCTAGTTTCAGGTAAAAATGTTATAAATCTCCTGGCAAAATTTGGGGGAGAAAGAGAAGGCTTGGAAAGTGAATTTCTTGCCTTTACATTGACAGTGGGATTCTGGCTTCATAATGCTTTAAGCTCTTGACTTAAAGTGAGAAAAATATTTCACTTAAAGCTTTTTGCCTTCAATAATCAGTTGTTCTTTTGTAGTGCCTCTTTATCTTGTATTTACCTTGAGCAACCGCTGATGCATGTGGAGTAGTCAGAAAAATATCACCATGAAACATGGAATTGCTACTTCATGCACATTTACAGAAGCACGCACACACATATTAGCTTTGTACTGTGAGAATTGTCCAATCAAAAGGGGAACAGAAAGAAAGAGTACAATTCAACAGAACAATTTTAATGTTTTTCCATACAATAAACTGCTAATAATATAATATGTATATTTGCTTCAGCTGTATCATCTAAAAGGCTATTTGACTATATTACACAGTATCATCATTGCAGTGAATAGAGTCAATGGTATTTATCTAATGCCATCTAATAATCAGTCATGTTCAAATCTCTGTGAATGATTAGTATTGACAAAAAATGTCATTACCAGAAGATGAGAGACCTACGAACTTGGTGCTGGCACTCAGTTGATAACAGTTAGGAGTATGGAGTGATAGCAGAGTCAAACAATGCAAACTGTATAATAATTACATAGAAATGTGCCTGAGAAATTGATGGATCAACCAGGGTTAGCTTGAGCCCCCAACCTGGTCATCTTGGGGCTCTGATTCAACCAGGACCCCTCTGTAACTAGTTCAGAAGTAGAACACCATTGAGAGAGGCCTCTGGACACTATTGTAGATGGATAGATAGTTAATTACTCCAACTGTTGCTTGAGTAGACCATTCATTCTTATGTCAATGTCTTCATACGCTACCAAAAAACCCACCACAAAATATACTAAAAGAAAAGATATGAACATTTGTCTTTATTACGCTAGGGAGAGGAAGACTTTTTAAAACTTTTGAAAGCAGACTGTCACAGCTTTCTCCTGTGGATTGGCTGGTGGGTTCGAACCATCGACCTTCTGGTTACCAGCTGTGCACTTAACCACTGTGCCACCAGGGTCCTTACAAATCAAGATGGAAATAATTGACAAGTAGGTTAAGGATGTGATCATCAATTGAAAGATGAGGAAATAGAAGTGGCTCACCATATGGAACGATGTTAAAGAAATGAAAGGTGAAACAAATCTGAGGTACCTCACTATTCACCTTCTGTTGATACTGCCAGTATTTTGTGTTAGAGAACACATGGGCAGAAAAAGACCACCATCAGTGAGTGGGCAAATTGGTATAATCTTTCTAAGAGCAGTTTGGCATATATGAGGGGCTTCAAAAAGTTTATTTTGCCATGACATTTCTGAAGCTCCTTTCGTATTATTATTTCAAGTTACTGTTTTTGTCACTAGGTTGTTGTTAAGTGCCATCCAACTCCTTCTTCAGACTGCCTCTGTTCCTGACTTTATTTTTTATGTCTGGTTTCTCCTAGATGGTGATATTTCTGCTTTTGACCTTGGACTGGTAGCCTTGACCTCGAGTCCCTTCATAACTGCAAGTTCCAGTCATCATTGTCGTGTGATAAGAACATTTGGGTCACTTGCTCTTCTGCCACTTGTTCCCTCGGCAGCTGTTGATCACACACATAGGCCCTTTTTGTTTGTCTTGTGAATGTTATCATTTGGTTCTGAAACATTACCGATAAGTATTGTGTAGAGCTCAGTAATATCATCTAAAATCTGGGTACGTCAGGGCAAGCATGGCCTCCAAGACAGAAAACAACAGGGTGGACAATAAAAGTACAAGAAGAGTGAAGAGATCAAGGAAGGTGATGTCCCTAGCAAACAAAATGAGAGTTCTTGAAATGCTTGATCAAGGTGAAACCAATACTGCTGTTGGGCGTTTTTTTGGTGTGAATGAATCTACAATTCGTACCATCAAAAAAAATGCGAAAGCTATTAGGGCTAGTGCATCAAGAGGCACACCAGAATCACTGAGGAAATCATACATAACTCGAAATGCCGAATTAGAGAAAATGGAAAGAGATTTGCATTTGTGGCTCCTAAAACAGAAAATGCTGAATAAGCCGCTTTCCGTATACATCATCCGTCAGCGAGCATGCCGGAAATGCAAGTTTCAATTTCAATGTGGAGAAAAAGTTCTGGAATTCATTGCCAGTAACGGGTGGTTGGATCGATTTAAGAAGCGCTATGGCCTATATGAGAACAAGTGGCTGCCCGAGGAAGCAGATCATGCAGCTGCTGCGGGCTTTCCTAAATACTTAAAGGCACTGATCGAGGAAAATCGCTATCTGCCTGAACAGGTCTTCAATGCTGATGAAACTGCCCTGTTCTGGAAGCGCTTGCCCACTTGCACATCTATTGCAAAGGATGAGAAAATGACCCGGGGCTTCAAGCCTGGGAAAGACAAACTTAAGGTTCTACTGTGTTCCAATGCTTCTGGAGACTTCCTGATGAAACCCATGTTGCTTCACAGATTCCGAAACCCTTGCCCTCTTAAAAAAAATTGCCAGAGACACTCATCTGTTTTCATGAAGGCAAACCATAAGATATGGATCACTGAGAAACTCTTTTTGAACTGGTTTTTGAAGTGTTTTGTCCCTGAGGTGAAACAATATTTGAATGAAAACAACCTTGAATTTAAAGTGTTGATTATTCTGGACACTGCTCCCTGTGACAAAAGCTCAATAGTCAATGCTGATCCTCGTGTTAAAGTCATCAGCATCCCCCCCAACACAACTCCACTCCTTCAACCCATGCATCTGGGAGTGCTGAAAATGTTCATGATCTACTACACTAGGCGCATGTTTGACTACTTTGCAGATCTGATGAGAGAGACACCAAAGCTTTCCATGAAAGTAGCTTGGAAAGATTTCACCATTTGTAATGCCTTAACAATCGTAGAGGAATCCGTGAGAGAAATAAAACAAACAACCCTTAATGGAGCCTGGCAGAAACTTTGGAATGAGGTTGTAACTGATTCTGAGAGTTTCCTTCCAGTGGTAGAAGAAATTGAAAATATTGTAGCGTCTGCAAAATGTCTGGATGGTGAAGGATTTGAAGACATTGACTCGAGTGACATTGCTGAACTGTTAGACTCTCATCCTCAGAAGATAGTTGAAAAATATTTCAGAGATGTGCTTGCCTCACAAGTTGATAAAAGCAGACAGGGTAGTTTAACAGCCATAACTCAAAGAACATTGAAGTTGCCACTCTACCAGTCAAATGGCCGTGATGATTCAAAGGAAAAAGACCCTTCAGTGGAATATCTCTTGACATTCAGGCAAGGCTTACATGATTATCCTATAAAGCACTAATAAGAAATCTTCCAATGAAGGCCAATAAGTCTTTTCTCTCTGCTTGCTTCAACAGGGAACAAGAGGCTGGGCCGTCCACACACGTCATCCCATCTTGTCCTGCAAATGAGAGGCAGACATCCAGCATACAGATAGTTAAACTGTGGGCTTCAGACTCCTACAGCTCTAATGAAGTGGAGTTCTATGAGCCGCAGGATGAAAGTTCAGCAGAAGACTGAGTTTACCTAACTGTAGACAGAATCCTCTTTTCACTCTTCTACTATTAATACTATCATGGTCACCATTTTCATTGATAGATTATTGTCTTCACCTTTAGATCAGAGAGAAGTAGAGATAAATGGCCCAATAGCCACTCTTGTGGATGGAAAAGTTGAACAGTGCCATTAAGATTCACTTTACTCATTGATTTAGTGAACAAACTGTTTGTCTGGGTTCTCACAATACTTCTTTATCTGCCTCTGATTTTCCTGAAAGATGTTCAGTTTCTCCAACACAAATCCCTCAGCAATGAAGGAGTTTTTCAGGACCTCACCTCTAGTACCTAGAGAGAGGGTTTCTCTAGTTGCTTTGACAACTTGATTTTGAGCTTTTGGCCCTGAAATTTATTTGAATTTTATTAAGCCTCACTTAAAGGAGCTCTGGTAGTGTAGTGGTTACGAATCGGGCTGCGAACCTTAAGGTCAGCGGTTCGAAACTACAGGGTCGCTATGGGTCGTAACCGACTCGATGGCACATAACAACAACAACAAAGCCTCACTTACAGTCTTAGCCAAGAAATCACCCAAGCGCTTTCCTTTTAACTAGTTTGGCCTAAATTCATTTGCTTTTAGCAATTATATAAATTAACTGTTGGCCAGTCTCTAGAGACAGTACATTTGATATGCTAATCATTTTCTAGGATTACAGGCAGTTCCTTAGTCCCTGGGTCACAAAAGAGAACCGTTACTGTGTTCATCTTTAAGTCGAATCTGTAGGTGTACCACAGCAGGAGTATATGGGTCTTATTTAGCTTTTAGTGAAGGAAAATGCTTACTCCCTCTTCAATGTTTCGAAAGCTGCATGTGCAACAGATGAAAGTTATTGCGATGAAGAATCTGTTGGGAGTAGGAGTTGATTCACTTATTTCAAAGTAAGGGCCCATTTAGGTTAAATTTACATTAAAGGGAAAATATTAATTGTCCCTAAGTCTGTTGTTCATATATTTTGTTACCTAGTCAAGGAGAAGAAGCTGCTAGAGTTCATTTTTATAGATAGTCTGTTCTCATATCTGGCCTTCCCAGTGATTTCAACAGTTTACGATCCGTTTGAACTTTTTTAGGCAGAATTAATAGAAAAACATTACGAAGCCAAAGATATGAAGCTGATGGGTTGTGCTATGAATATGATGAACCTGCCTGTTCTTTTGTCTGTTTGCATACATTGCCATCTGATATCTACTTTGAACTCAGTTGACCCGTTATTCTACGGAATGACTGACGGGAAGTCAGAATAGCATTGCTGTTTCTGGGATATTGATTACTATTTGTGTTGGAATTATAGCACTAGTACCAGAATCACATGCTGATCATAATGTATAACAAAGCTGAGTAGAGAAACAAAAAGAATTCACTGGCATGTACTTGCCTTAGATAGTTTTAAAGAGCATAAAGACAACCTGAAATGTTGACCTTTCTTTACAGTAATGAGAACATGCTGTCTTTAACAACATGGTGTCAAAAAATGACACCAGATAGTAAATTGAATTTGGTCTTGTAGGAAGCATAGGCCAAGTCCATTTAAGTTCCGGTTTGGAGTCAAGGAATCCAGTGTTTTATTCCCCACTGTAGCAGTCTTAGTGGTAGGTTACCCATATCTGAGTTTGAATTGATCATGGAAAAGGAGAAAAGTAACAAGCTTAAAAGGATTTGCTTATATATACTTCTGGTTGAGATATATACAAGGGGACTTCAAAAAGGTCATGGAGAAATTCTACCGTCTTTTGATTCCATTTTCCACAAACCTTTAAAAGCCTCCTCATATTCCTCAACAAGTTCAAAACAGGCTGATGAATATTGAAAACCCATTGTAGGGTCCTGTGGCTCTAGTGACATTTTTGCCAGTTGTTCTTAACACAGGCTCCACATTAGAGTCATTATGGGACCCGCCCCCAGATCTGCTAAGTGAGTCAGGTGGTGTCAATCTTTTAGAAGCTCCTCAAGTCATTTTATACACAGCTGTGGTTGGTTGCAAACCACTGTTCTAAGGTTAAACACAAGTATGATAGTAGAAAATACAGTTTTTTGTTTTTTAGCCCAGTAGATTGGAAACCTTGATTCCAAGTTTCTGTTGTCTCTAGTACAACAACGAATGGTCTTGTTCAAGTCACTCTACTATTATCTGTCAGATGAGAGGATAGAACCGATTGGTCTCTAAGGTCCTTCTATCTCTGACATTGTTACTTTGAGAGAAAGGTGTGTTCATTTCATTGGTTGTTTTAGAAAGTAACTAAGGTGTTTCATCGCCATGAGTCAGGGCTGACTTGATGGCAACTGTTTATTGTTTTTTTTTTAAGTTTTTGCGTAGAGACCAAAGGTAAGCATTATTGTTATTATTATTATATTATGTTCTCGTTATTTTGAGCTTTGACCTTTTGGTTTAATTTTAGTCCTTTTGGAAAATAGAGTTAAGCATAATAAACATAACATCAACTTCATATAAAGAAAATGGGAGGGCACCTCCTATAACTGGTTTTTTTGTTGTAGTTTTTTTTTCCTGTGAGAATTTGCTATTTTTCTTCTGGGTTTTAGGGTTTGGGGAAAACAATACTGCATAGAGATTATGTATTAAAATGCTTTAATATTTTGTAACTATTGTTTCCATTAACCAAAGCAGAGAGCTCTGTATGGTGAAAGTTTCAAGGTTCCATGGATAACTTGCTTATTCCCAATAATGCCGAGAGGTAAAAACATCTCTAAGCCAATGATGTTTTTCACCAGTGTAATCAATGGTTTCATATGCCTTTAAAGAATGAGCTTTCCTGGTATTTTTGCCATACATTAAGAAAAATACTACCTTGACATTTTTAAAGTCTTTATTTTACCAATATTAGAGAAAATAGATTTTTTGATTCAGCAGTATCAACATGTGTGCCATTGAGTGCGTTCTGTGTGAGCAAGTAGAACTGCCCCATAGAGTTTCCTAGGCTATAATCTTGGGTAGTGGGTTACGCATTGCTCTGCTAACCAGAGTCAGTCATTGGTTTGAATCTACCAACCAATCCACAGGAGGAAGAAGAGACTTTCTGCTCCTGTAAAGATTTACTGCCTAGGAAACCCTACATATGGTCACTATGAGTCAAAGTCAGCTGGACGGCAGGCTGTGGGCTTGTTTGTTGGTTTGTTTTCATTTGTATGGGAGCAGACAGCCAACTCCTTTCTCCTGTGGAGCCAGTGGTTTATTCGAACCACTGGCCTTTAGGTTAGCTGGCTGTTGAGTACTTAACCATTGTGCAACTAGGGCTCCTCATCTAGGAGCTCTTAATATAAAATAACAAAACGGGGAAGTGAATAGTGTTTTCTTTAGTTGTAGGAATACCTAATTGATAAGTAGAAACATTTGTCTGGATTCAGATCATACCCAGTTAAAATAATGTAAGAACTATCCTTAATGAAGGTAAAGATAGAATATTTTAATGTGATTGAGTGTAACAAGTCAGCAGAACTTTCCAAGGGTGGGAAAGTTTGGTATATGGTGAATGATAAATAATAGAACTGAATGACAATGGATGTTTTTGTTTTTCTTCTTTAAGCTAAGAATAGTTCCCCAAATTGAAAACTTAAAATTTCTTTACTATAGTTTAAGCATAGTTGGAGCAGAGATCTTCTTTGATGGATCAGGTAAATTCTTGCACTCCATATTATGAAGTGCATGGAAACTCCTTTCTTTACAGACACACTTAACCTCTGTGGCAAAAACAAAAACAAAAAAGGTCGTGGGGGAAAATCGCAGCCCAGGCTGCTAAAATTTGTGGAGAAAACGTTAGAAAACTGGTGAGAGAACTCTTTGTTTAAGATCTTTTAGGTTCCCAAATGCAGAGAAGGCTCTCTAAACTGCTACACTTCCGGATCACAGAGCTGCTGCCACCTAGATGCTAATAAAGCGTTTCTACCATGTGTCCAAAAGTTTGTGTGAACAGTATTTATGCCATAAAAAATACATTGATCACTGACCTTCACATAGTATTTCGTTTTAATGACCTCTGATGTCCATGTATTATAGTGGTTACGAATTGGGCTGCGAACCTTAAGGTCAGCAGTTTGAAACTACCAGCCGCTCCGCGGGAGAAAGATGAGGCTTTCTACTCCTGTAAGGATTTACACCCTCGGAAACCCTGTACAGGGTCGCTATGGGTCGGAACCGACTCGACGGCACTTAACAACAACAACAACAACATCTAATACTTAAGAAATAAACCCAATGTGCTGTGAACAGAGTGTATATGTTCTCCGGATTTATAAAAGCAAATACAAAATGGATGAAAAAATAAGTAGTACATTTTATTAGCATGAGTATCAAATGCTGAGAAAGTAAGAATTTAGTGTGTTTGAGACATCACATTCAATCTTCCTTGCATTGCTACAGTAATCCCAAAGATGATTTGAACTCACCATTGCAAACACCTAGAATTGGCCCTTGATTAATGGTAGTGGTCAGAGTACCATCAAGAAAAGAACATAAGACTTTGCTTATGACTTACAGTCTGCCCTAGGCTGGGAATTCCGTAGCTTTGGATAGTGAGACTTTTAAATCCTGCCTAACATTTACCACCTGTGTGACTGTGGCCCTGTTTCTTAACCATTGTAGGATTTAGTTTCTGATCTGTAAAACGGGGTCCAAAAATACCTGCATTTATAATGAGACTCAATATAAATGAAATAATTAGTTCAGTGACTGGCACATAGTATGTGCTTAATAAATTGTTGTTATTATAATACTAAGGAGTATTACAGAGCTAGAATGTGATATTTTACTTTTGTCTCTACATGATTTGTAGTTTTTAGTATTTTATCACATTTTGCTCAAAACAAGGGATGCAAGATGATTTTAAGGAGAGAGAAAGTTTAAAAAATGAGTTTTAATATTGCTCTTTGCTTGTTTGGGAATGATACCTGAAACCATAATTCCTTCATCCCTGTTACTCCTGGACCTGCAGTGATCCTTTATGCTTTATTTATAAGGT